GGGCCGACCTTTTCTAACCCTTCCTTCCTTGTGAGAAGGCAGCATCGCTGCAGATGCTGGTTGTCCGAGGGAAACACCTTACTGCTGTCACACCCCTCTGCTGTCAGCAGTACGACTTCGCCCTCAGACCTTGGGTAGCTGCTTTTAGTCTCATCGTTCTCCAATCGACCTGTCTGGCATGGTAGAACCTTGAGGAACATATGTTCCAGCCAGTATAGCTCGGTTGGGTCATCACGATAGGCAAGCCCGACCACCACGTCAAGGTATCAGCTACGGTCGGGACCATGCCAGGCATCATCATCAACAGCAACGTAGAACTTTGAACGTAAGTACACCAGTTCAAGTTGCCATACCACATTAGCACAGAGATATAATTTTCAATTCAAACCCCATAGTATTAGAGGTAGTAGAAGTATTAGAAATAATCGGAGAGATCACGGTTCTAAGATGTTATTCAAGAAGTATAATTCAGTGAGGTAAATTTAGAAAGAGAAAGATAGAGGTGATGAGGAATTCATAAGGTTAGAATTTCATAGAACACGACGAGTGGACGCACCTGAGCCACTGCAAACGATTTTGAGCCATGTCACTCAGGGTCTCTAACCATCGATTATTATCATCTCGCAGGCCCCAACCAGTTAGTCGAGACCTACCGACATGACTCGGTCCACGTGTCAGTGACTTCATGGATTTGTGCCGTGTTTTGGTTTGGCGCCCCCAGCTTTCGTCCAAGCTATTCCTGTATCGCAAAATATAGCTCGACGTGGCATTTGGTGGTTAGGCATACGTAACACGTCCCACCCACCTCAACTGATGCAGTTTCACTACTCCATCTATTGATCTGCCATCCTTACCTAGCACCCGTTTCCTAACACTAGCATTGCTTATTCGACTGTCCCACGATACTCGAACAATGCTTCGAAGACACTTATGATCGAAAACCAGTAACCCACGAATGTCTTATACTCTCGCTGGTCATGTTTCACAGCCATGAAGTAGGATTAAGCGAACTACTACGCAGTACACTCCTCTTTTAGTCAGTAAACGGATATATCGCCTTCGCCACAAGTGACACAGGTTGGCAAAAGACAATCAAGCTTTCTGTATCCTTGCTGAAATTGCGTCAGTCACCAGGCCATCAGCACTGATGAGACTCCCAAGATAAGTGAGGCGGTCTACACGTTCGACCACTTTACTCCCTATCACTAGTTCAGGTGCCGATGACACCCAATCTTGAAGCAAAATTTTGCATTTCGAGGGGGAAAACCGCATCCCGAACATGCTTGCATTGTTGCTTAGGGTAGTCAGAAGACTCTGCATTTTGTCAGCGTCTTCACCAAGTAGGACTATGTCATCGGCATATTCTAAGTCAATAAGCGAGCCTCTCGGTAGAAGGTCTACTGAAAATTCAGACAACTGAGTAGGCAATACTGTCGTTAGGAAACGAGTACTAAGTAAGGATGGCAGATCAATAGATGAAGTACTGAATCTTCATGAGTTGAGGTGGTTGAGACATATGTTACGAATGCCTACCCACCGACCACCTTGACGAGCAATGTTTTGTGGTGTAGGAGTAGGCTGTAAGAAAGCTAGGGGTGGTAAAACCGAAAAATGGCAGAAATCCTTGAAGTCACTGATAACTGTACTACCTGGTTGGGGTCCGCGAGACGATGGTAACCGATGGTTAGAGACCTTGAATGACATGGCTCAAAACCGTTTGTAGGTGCATCCACTCTTTGTGCTGTCTGAAATTCTAATCTGAATTCCTTATCACCTCTATTTTTCTCTTTCTAAATTTATCTCACTAGATTCTACTTCTTGAATAATATCTCCTAACCCTTGTCTTCCCCGTTACCGCTATTGCTTCTACTATCTCTACCACTATGTGGTTTGAACTGACAGTTGCATCTCTGTGCAAATGTGGTATGGCAATCTAAAGCGGTGTACGTACGTACGACGTTCTACGTTGTTGCTGACTGACTGAATAGTAGACATTTGATAATGAATGTTGATAATATATGCAGTAAGAGTACTTTATGGTTAGATCTCCTATGGTTGACAATGTGGTTACAGTTATTACAAGATTTTTAAAAACAATCTGAATGTAATGATTGATTATTTTAGTGGAGAGGTTGCACATTTTTCTAATTTTACTCATAGTTTCTATTGAAGTTTATTTTTATGCATTCATACCCAGCTCCTAGTGAAGTTTATTCTGAGGATCATGAAAATGTATTGAAGACAAAAGCAGACGATCCAGTTGTCTCTAAATCGTTGAATGGCTCTGTCATGCGACCTGTCGCTGTGTTGCCTGGATTAAGTGAATATTCCACTTCAGATTCCGACCAGTCAACAGATTCAGATGATGATGAATCCAGCGATGTGGAAGATGCTGTATGTACATTACAGCAAATTGCCAGTACTAGAATACGATATGCTAAAACTGATAGTGCAGCGGACAATGAATAACATGTGTATGAGTGATGCTTTCTGATGTACAGTATAACAAAATGTCTGACTGACTTGTATATTTCTCTCTGAATTTATTTCACTGCTTTAGTCGTAATATCCTATCGTATTTGTCGTTTTATACTATTTGTCTGTCGATAGTTCGTTACTGATAATCTTCTAAATATATTCAGTGTAAGTTAATGTAACTAAGTAGTCAAGTACATGTCCCTGAGCTTAAACTGAGATCATTTTTAATGTAAAGTTTAGAAATGCTACACAGTTTCTCATGAGTAAATGTACTAAGTCCTTTTAGTCCTGGAACCAAAATTAAAAAAATAGAGCGCTTTAACTACGTTTCGTATATGTTAATAGCCAGTAAGTGATAACACTTGTCAGTTTATTTATTATTGATGCCTTCAGACACGCAATGAACTTAAACAAATATCAAGTTTTACCAATATGTTAGGAAATTTGGATTCTAGATTCTATAAAGGACAGTCAAACTAAACTGAAAGCCTACAGAATTAGAGGTTTCCGTGGATAATTAATAAGACTAAATATTATATTTCATTCTTACAGGAGGATGAAAGTTAATGTTCACCTTTTTGATATTAGTAGTTCTCTTGCTTCAAACACCTGTACAAACTCAGTTCACTAACATGATTGCGAGGTCACACCTGCGATTTGCCATTGTTAATGATGGAGTATGATATATTCTGCTTGAAAGGCCAAGTTGAAGATAATCGCATGAATTGAAATTCCCATTACATCATAAATTCAACGAGCAATATTTGAGTTATTTACCAGTTTTGTAATGCTTAGCTTACAACCGAGTGGTTTCCTATTAATAAATTATTCGCAATAAATATTACTCTAAGCTTATGTGTAAAAAGTTGTATCGTTCAAAGTTCATTATTCGCAGTATATTATTTTACCAGGTATTCGCACAAATATTATAAGAAAGTGAGGTTTAGATATTTAAGATTTTTACGAATGAAATGTGTAGCAACAACAGAAAGAAACTCGTAACCTCTTAATGAGGGAGATGAATAATTTTAAATTCCATACTAGTTTACTGCTGACAAAATATAGTTTATATACTTTGCTTGCTTTGGAGATGAATGACGATGAGATTGTAATGCATTCTGATATGGTCAGAATTGCTTTCACGCACGTAGAAATGTCGCACTCAGTAATACCCTCATTTGTTTAATGTCTTAAGACATTATCGTTCCTATCTATGAGAAGAATTTATTGACAATAGTGTTAAGTAGGTTCTTTTATAATAAAACTTCCCTGAACCCTACTATTGTAAGTATCAATTCCAGGGTTTGAAATTGATAGCTTCAAATAAATTCATCATTGCCTAGAAAGTTGGTGGTAGTAAAATAATCTATGATAACCTTATGAGAAGAAAATTCTATTTCTGACGTTATGTGACTTAATGCAACTCACTTCTTAAAAGGAAACAAATAAATAACCGAAATAAGTTCAGTTTAATTGATACAAAGGAAACAAAAAGCAACATTTTTATACAAACAAATAGGTCTGAAAATGTTGAAGTCATGATTTTTTCAGTGAAGGTGATAGGTAGTTTTTTGTGTGTAGAAAATGAATAAAGTCAAATCTGGTTGATGGAATGAATAGTCAGACCTCTTTCCTGTAGATAGTAGGAGTTAGCGTTAAGTAAAGTGCTCTAACTTATCTCCTGTGTTTATAGCTAGGAAATCCTTTTTGAATACCTAAAATTTTTAACATCGGTTTAGTGGTTTTCGGAGATATTTTGTTGCCATTGCCGATTTAATCTGTAAATTTTTATGCTCAGCTGGATTATTAGATATTTTTGTGTAGCCTAAGTATTCTTTGTTTATAAGTTTTTTACTAATGAAAGTTGTGTTAATTTGGTTTACTTCTTTAATTACTCTGAAGAAGTGAGTTCCATTAAGGCACGAAACGTTAGAAATGCGAAGTTTTACTAATTGGGATGTCACCTGAAATTATAATTACTTTATTACTATTATTGTGAACTTTGATACTGTTTTCTCATCTTGCAAGATTGTCGAAAGTAACAACTAATACCTGATAACCAAGTATTGATGAATAGATACAGATTTTTTAATGTGAAATCATACAACGTATTGATCTCATAACCCCGTTAGTTTAGAGAAATAATGACTGTAAAAGAGATCCATTTTTTTAGTGTTGAGGTGCTCAGTCGGTGATATGGTACCTTAATATGGAGGGGCTGGCACCTGCCAACGTCCTCGCGATAATAACTGGAAAGGTTCCATACTACTGATAATAGTGTCTACACTCGTTTAATAAGAAAATTACAGGATTCTCAAACAATTACAACTGCTATGTCACTGCAGTTAGTTGTGATAGTAACTCCCAGTCTTCCGATAATCGACATCCTTAATTGTTTGCTCTCTTCGAAAAATTTTTAAGTTACCTACATCCCCAGTTTATTTAGTGTAATACCACATTCACACAGTTGTGCTTTAGTCAAGTATCAATTAAAAAAAATATAAACGGAAGCCATTTGATTGATTGGACCGATCACCTCACTAACCATCAAAATGAATAATAGTTGGGACACATTTCAAACGTTCATTAAAACAGATTTTGTGTAATCCTGTCACGTAGATAGTGGCGATATTACTAGCTTTTATGAAAATGGATTAGCACCGATAATTTTGGATGAATTCAGAATGTGCATCGTCAGATCCCACTTAAGTATTGTTCCCTGCTATAATTCCAAATGTCTTGATTTCGACTATGCACGACTCTCATGTCTCAAACACCTGTATGAGTCCTCATAGCTTTTGTTGAGACTTGAACTCCCCTCTAATTTGAAGTGACGAGTACAAATCGGAGAACAACCCTGTGTTAATATTCTTGAGTCGGGAGCTGATTCCTAATGGTACACAATTCCCTCCGTACCTTGGTTGTTGAGTCCAGAAAACAGTAATCAGCTTCCGCTATACGAATTATATATTTCAGAGATACATGCTTCATATGCAGACAGTTGACTGCATCACACCAATAAATGAAAAGTGTTATGCATGAACAAGCTAAAAGGTGGCTGAGTCATGAATAAGCAACAGATTAAAAATGATAAATCATATAAAAGGAATTAATCAGAGACTCATGACAATTGGGATGTATATATAGTAGTCTCATTACTTAATAAGTATACATACAGTAATATTCTATGAATTGATTCTCTAATTTACACATACTTCATTCTCCGATGGTTGGATAAGCACTTAATTCAGGATGAGGATCTTCATCAGTATAAAATCTATAATTTTCAAAACTGGAAAATATGTTCGAGAAAAGACCCGACTCTTTCATATCCATGAAAAGTATTTCAGCTAAATTATTGACAAAGCAGTCTCCTGAAAGCTTAATCAAGATACCAGAATGTTATATTGGTCTTTTGTGCACACACTGTATTAAATGGCACTTCAGGATTAGACATGTATTTTCAAAAATGTGGAAGTGATTAGTCAAGTTGATTCTTTCCGACGTTTGAAGAGCTGTCTTGATTTTGGTCTGCTTAAAGTTAACATAAAAACGGTTTTAAACAAATGAACTTTTTGATTTGGGTGGTTTTAGATGCCGCCAAACCTAGTGTAGGGAGTCTAATCCCATGTAGTATTGTAAGTGCAGAAAATTAAGTATTAAACAAGGGTGTGATGGGATTAGACTCCCTACACTAGGTTTGGCGGCATCTAAAACCACCCAAATCAAAAAGTTCATTTGTTTAAAACCGTTTTTATGTTAACTTTAAGCAGACCAAAATCAAGACAGCTCTTCAAACGTCGGAAAGAATCAACTTGACTAATCACTTCCACATTTTTGAAAATACATGTCTAATCCTGAAGTGCCATTTAATACAGTGTGTGCACAAAAGACCAATATAACATTCTGGTATCTTGATTAAGCTTTCAGGAGACTGCTTTGTCAATAATTTAGCTGAAATACTTTTCATGGATATGAAAGAGTCGGGTCTTTTCTCGAACATATTTTCCAGTTTTGAAAATTATAGATTTTATACTGATGAAGATCCTCATCCTGAATTAAGTGCTTATCCAACCATCGGAGAATGAAGTATGTGTAAATTAGAGAATCAATTCATAGAATATTACTGTATGTATACTTATTAAGTAATGAGACTACTATATATACATCCCAATTGTCATGAGTCTCTGATTAATTCCTTTTATATGATTTATCATTTTTAATCTGTTGCTTATTCATGACTCAGCCACCTTTTAGCTTGTTCATGCATAACACTTTTCATTTATTGGTGTGATGCAGTCAACTGTCTGCATATGAAGCATGTATCTCTGAAATATATAATTCGTATAGCGGAAGCTGATTACTGTTTTCTGGACTCAACAACCAAGGTACGGAGGGAATTGTGTACCATTAGGAATCAGCTCCCGACTCAAGAATATTAACACAGGGTTGTTCTCCGATTTGTACTCGTCACTTCAAATTAGAGGGGAGTTCAAGTCTCAACAAAAGCTATGAGGACTCATACAGGTGTTTGAGACATGAGAGTCGTGCATAGTCGAAATCAAGACATTTGGAATTATAGCAGGGAACAATACTTAAGTGGGATCTGACGATGCACATTCTGAATTCATCCAAAATTATCGGTGCTAATCCATTTTCATAAAAGCTAGTAATATCGCCACTATCTACGTGACAGGATTACACAAAATCTGTTTTAATGAACGTTTGAAATGTGTCCCAACTATTATTCATTTTGATGGTTAGTGAGGTGATCGGTCCAATCAATCAAATGGCTTCCGTTTATATTTTTTTTAATTGATACTTGACTAAAGCACAACTGTGTGAATGTGGTATTACACTAAATAAACTGGGGATGTAGGTAACTTAAAAATTTTTCGAAGAGAGCAAACAATTAAGGATGTCGATTATCGGAAGACTGGGAGTTACTATCACAACTAACTGCAGTGACATAGCAGTTGTAATTGTTTGAGAATCCTGTAATTTTCTTATTAAACGAGTGTAGACACTATTATCAGTAGTATGGAACCTTTCCAGTTATTATCGCGAGGACGTTGGCAGGTGCCAGCCCCTCCATATTAAGGTACCATATCACCGACTGAGCACCTCAACACTAAAAAAATGGATCTCTTTTACAGTCATTATTTCTCTAAACTAACGGGGTTATGAGATCAATACGTTGTATGATTTCACATTAAAAAATCTGTATCTATTCATCAATACTTGGTTATCAGGTATTAGTTGTTACTTTCGACAATCTTGCAAGATGAGAAAACAGTATCAAAGTTCACAATAATAGTAATAAAGTAATTATAATTTCAGGTGACATCCCAATTAGTAAAACTTCGCATTTCTAACGTTTCGTGCCTTAATGGAACTCACTTCTTCAGAGTAATTAAAGAAGTAAACCAAATTAACACAACTTTCATTAGTAAAAAACTTATAAACAAAGAATACTTAGGCTACACAAAAATATCTAATAATCCAGCTGAGCATAAAAATTTACAGATTAAATCGGCAATGGCAACAAAATATCTCCGAAAACCACTAAACCGATGTTAAAAATTTTAGGTATTCAAAAAGGATTTCCTAGCTATAAACACAGGAGATAAGTTAGAGCACTTTACTTAACGCTAACTCCTACTATCTACAGGAAAGAGGTCTGACTATTCATTCCATCAACCAGATTTGACTTTATTCATTTTCTACACACAAAAAACTACCTATCACCTTCACTGAAAAAATCATGACTTCAACATTTTCAGACCTATTTGTTTGTATAAAAATGTTGCTTTTTGTTTCCTTTGTATCAATTAAACTGAACTTATTTCGGTTATTTATTTGTTTCCTTTTAAGAAGTGAGTTGCATTAAGTCACATAACGTCAGAAATAGAATTTTCTTCTCATAAGGTTATCATAGATTATTTTACTACCACCAACTTTCTAGGCAATGATGAATTTATTTGAAGCTATCAATTTCAAACCCTGGAATTGATACTTACAATAGTAGGGTTCAGGGAAGTTTTATTATAAAAGAACCTACTTAACACTATTGTCAATAAATTCTTCTCATAGATAGGAACGATAATGTCTTAAGACATTAAACAAATGAGGGTATTACTGAGTGCGACATTTCTACGTGCGTGAAAGCAATTCTGACCATATCAGAATGCATTACAATCTCATCGTCATTCATCTCCAAAGCAAGCAAAGTATATAAACTATATTTTGTCAGCAGTAAACTAGTATGGAATTTAAAATTATTCATTTCCCTCATTAAGAGGTTACGAGTTTCTTTCTGTTGTTGCTACACATTTCATTCGTAAAAATCTTAAATATCTAAACCTCACTTTCTTATAATATTTGTGCGAATACCTGGTAAAATAATATACTGCGAATAATGAACTTTGAACGATAAAACTTTTCACACATAAGCTTAGAGTAATATTTATTGCGAATAATTTATTAATAGGAAACCACTCGGTTGTAAGCTAAGCATTACAAAACTGGTAAATAACTGAATTTATGAATGATGTAATGGTAATTTCAATTCATGTGATTATCTTCAACTTGGCCTTTCAAGCAGAATATATCATACTCCATCATTAACAATGGCAAATCGCAGGTGTGACCTCGCAATCATGTTAGTGAACTGGGTTTGTACCGGTGTTTGAAGCAAGAAAACTACTAATATCAAAAAGGTGAACATTAACTTTCATCCTCCTGTAAGAATGAAATATAATATTTAGTCTTATTAATTATCCACGGAAACCGCTAATTCTGTAGGCTTTCAGTTTAGTTTGACTGTCCTTTATAGAATCTAGAATCCAATTTCCTAACATATTGTAAAAACTTGATATTTGTTTAAGTTCATTGCGTGTCTGAAGGCATCAATAATAATAAACTGACAAGTGTTATCACTTACTGGCTATTAACCTTAACGAAAACGTATTAAAAGCGCTCTATTTTTTAATTTTGGTTCCAGGACTAAAAGGGCTTAGTACATTTACTCATGAGAAACTGTGTAGCATTTCTAAACTTTACATTAAAAATGATCTCAGTTTGAGCTCAGGGACATGTACTTGACTACTTAGTTACATCACCTTACACTGAATATATTTAGAAGATTATCAGTAACGAACTATCGACAGACAAATAGTATAAAACGACAAATACGATAGGATATTACGACTAAAGCAGTGAAATAAATTCAGAGAGAAATATACAAGTCAGTCAGACATTTTGTTATACTGTACATCAGAAAGCATCACTCATACACATGTTATTCATTGTCTGCTGCACTATCAGTTTTAGCATATCGTATTCTAGTACTGGCAATTTGCTGTAATGTACATACAGCATCTTCCACATCGCTGGATTCATCATCATCTGAATCTGTTGACTGATCGGAATCTGAAGTGGAATATTCACTTAATCCAGGCAACACAGCGACAGGTCGCATTACAGAGCCATTCAACGATTTAGAGACAACTGGATCGTCTGCTTTTGTCTTCAATACATTTTCATGATCCTCAGAATAAACATCACTAGGAGCTGGGTATGAATACATAAAAATAAACTTCAAGAGAAACTTATGAGTAAAATTAGAACAATGTGCAACCTCTCCACTAACAAATAATCAATCATTACATTCATATTGTTTTTAAAAATCTTGTAATAACTGTAACCACATTGTCAACTATGGGAGATCTAACCATAAAGTACTCTTACTGCATATATTATCAACATTCATTATCAAATATGTCAGTCAGCAACAACGTAGAACGTCGTACGTACGTACACCGCTTTAGATTGCCATACCACATTTGCACAGAGATGCAACTGTCAGTTCAAACCACATAGTGGTAGAGATAGTAGAACCAATAGCGGTAATGGGGAAGACAAGGGTTAGGAGATATTATTCAAGAAGTAGAATCTAGTGAGATAACTTTAGAAAGAGAAAAATAGAGAAGATGAGGAATTCAGATTAGAATTTCAGACAGCTCAAAGAGTGGATGCACCTACAAACGGTTTTGAGCCATGTCATTCAAGGTCTCTAACCATCGGTTACCATCATCTCGCGGACCCCAACCAGGTGGTACAGTTATCAGTGACTTCAAGGATTTCTGCCATTTTTCGGTTTTACCACCCCTAGCTTTCTTCCAGCCTACTCCTACACCACAAAACATTGCTCGTCAAGGTGGTCGGTGGGTAGGCATTCGTAACACATGTCTCAACCACCTCAACTGATGAAGATTCAGTACTTCATCTATTGATCTGCCATCCTTACTTAGTACTCGTTTCCTAACGACAGTATTGCCTACTCGGTTGTCTAAATTTTCAGTACACCTTCTGCCGAGAGGCTCGCTTATTAACTTAGAATATGCCGATGACATAATTCTATTCGGTAAGACGCTGACAAAATGCAGTCTTCTGACTACCCTGAGCAACAATGCATGTTCGGGATGCGGTTTTCCCCCTCGAAATG